CTGAATCCAGTGAGCTGAAGAATGCGGTTGAGTTTATTTGCATCATCTCCATCCTTTGTGAACTCTCCAGTAGCACGTTTAAGATCATCCTGGACCTCATCTTCCAATTCAAGCTGGCTCATACCCTGAAAAAGTATGCTAACAAAGACTAAGTGCCCAAACCTTCACAGTGCATAGTTATTTGATGTACAGTGCAAAAGCCAGAAACAAAACATACCATAAGTATTAACCAAAAACAAGCAGAAGAGAAAGGGAGAGGAAGGAAAGAAAATTGCACAAACTTGATTGACAGATATTGACCAGCTCTTATAGGCTCATGACACGTTATTGTTATGAACTACTCTGACTCGGTAACCAAAGAGAACGAAATGAGAAGGTGAAAAGACGCAAGCGAATGCACAAGTACAGCCAAACCTCATGATTACCAGATGTGAAAAAAGACATGGGAGAAAGATCAGGAAGTAGAATTCTAATGACTAGAAACCAAGAGAGCTCTAAAGCATGAGTATCGATCACTTAATATCGACCATTAGTTAGCTCTACTAGCACAAGATTCAACTCAAACCAGAGAGACAAGAAAAGCAATGTTGCTTACCTTCCTGCTCTTCAAGTGGTAGAAGTCAATCAGATCATCTGGTTGAGCATGAGATATCTGAGCTTTTGCTTTGATTTCCTCCGTCTCTTGGAGCTGCTTTTCTGCAAGCATCTTCACAAAACTTTCTCTGCAAGACTGCAACCATATCTTCCTTATTTCATCACCAGTGTTGGACAACAGCCTAATGCAAAGGATGACTCTGTCATGAGAGTCACTGTCAATTGGGTGTGGAAGAACTGGCGACTGACCCAGCTGTAGCATAGATACCATAATCAACAAGGCCTGTGTGGTCGCTTTGTTAACTTCCACCCTTGATGGTTGGACCTCCTCCAACCTCAATATAAGCTTTGTCAGGGTACACGCCACAACCGCCCCAAGGAAAAAATCACCTGAAAGGATCAGTGATCTTAAGTTTCCTACAGATGTCAATGAGCCTTGAACAAGGGTTGGAGGAGACATGGCAGTTTCCAGAGCTGCACTCTGGGTAGCATAGGTCCCATCAGCAAGTATTGCAGGTCTCCTAGAAGATGCAGCCGCCACATTCACCGGCTGAGAACTCTTTGATGCATCTTGTGCCTCACCCTCTTCAGCAGCTGCTGTGTAGAATGGGAGGTCTCCAAGACACTGTTTAATAGTAGCGATGCCACTCTCAACTTCCGAGAGGGAGAGACAGTATTCACCAATAATCCAAAGGGCGCAAGAACAAACTCTTGCAGCACGAATCTGGTAGAAAGTGTCCAACAGCCTGGTTATGATAGAGACCCGTAATTTGGGATTCGTCTCAATAATCTCACGCACAAAGACTACAACATCCAAAGCAGAAGCCACGTTGGCATCACCCAAGAAATCCATTAGAAGATGCACGACTGTGCTTGCCACCTCAGGGAACTTAATTGCACAAGTATGAATAGCTTGCACAAGCATTTGCCTGTACTCTCCATTCTTCTCAAGCTCACCGCTTTGAGTCTTCACAACCTCCTTCTTCAACATCAAAACGACCTCGTCCACATTTCTAGGAGTAATCAACTCGAGAGCAATGTCAAGCGTTTTTCTCCGAATATCAAGATTCGGACTTGAAAGGGCCCTAAGTACATCCATCACCAGCTCAACCATAATTTCCCTGTGTGAGCTCTTAAGCTCGTTCAACCTATCAAGCACGATCAGCTTCACATTGTTATCACTCTGCGACAACAGCAGCTGGCTATACGTGCTTGCTGCGGCCCTTATCGCCGTTGGCGCAGAGGATAGCGACACGAGCGTGCTGGCACACTCGTAAATCACCGCAGTCGATGGGGCATTAAGCAACGATATGATAATCTTAATGTACTTCCCTTTCTCAGCCTTATTGGATCTACACACTTTCCTAATCAACTCCAAAACAACCATCTGCAGCTGCTCCCCCCAATCATTAATCCTATCGATGTGCGTGAACAGATAATTCACAGCCCTCTCCTGAGAACAATTAAACAGCATGAGGAACGCATTGCGCTTACTCGAATGGTCCTGCTCGGTGGAGAGCACCTTCTCGATGATCTCCGGCGCCTGATCCAGCAAGTTCTGCCCATCGGGGAGCTTATACAGGGACATGACCGCGAGGATCGCGTTGCGGCGGACGAAGGGGTGGCGGTGCTCCAGATTCTCGACGATCGACGGGATCAGCGGCTCGATGATCTCGACCTCGTTGAGGCGGCAGAGGAACCGGAGCGTGACGCCGCGGATGTACTCGTTGGGGTGCTGGAGGTTGTTGCGGAGGTTCTGGCAGATGAGGATCATCTCGGGGAGGACCTTGCCGCGGGCGTCGGTCTTTTCGATGATCTCGAGGTAGAGGAGGAGGAGCTTCTGGATGGTGTGGTCCTCGCTGGGGAGGACGTAGCGGATGATGGTGATGAAGAGCTGGGGGATGGTCTCGCCGTTGAGGAGGAGCATGACCGCCTTCTTGAGGGCGTCGATCTTGAGGGGGACGTCGTTGCCCTCCAGCGCCTCCTTGATCTCGTTCGCCAGCGACGGCGCCCCCTTGTCGAAGTGGACGAGGAGGGTGCACGATTTCTCCATCTGCTTCTGCATCGTCGTCGTCGCCGTCGTCCTCGCCGGAGCGATCGCCGGATCGGTCGCCGGAACCCGAAGGAAATGGTGGCTCCGCCGCGAGATCTGATCGAATTTAGACAGAGAGGGTCGCCGTCGCCGTCGTCGCTTCTTCTTCTTCTTCGTGTTCACTCTCTTCTTCAAAACGAGAGAGAGAGAGAGAGAGAGAGGGGAGTGATTTGCTAGATCTGAGATTTGGGTCGGGGAGGAGATTGTAAAACGTTCGTCGGCCCCTGAAGAATTGGCTTATCGCGATTCGAGACCCGAGACGAGTTTATTGTTCCAATTTGGTCCTTCCTTCCGGGCAGAGACGGTGACAGATTAGGTCCCTCCACTTTGCCCCCGGTTTTCGATTTGGTCCCGAAGCAGCTCAACTTTCTTCAAAACAAAAGGGCGATAGATGACTCTATTTTGGGAAAAAACCACCAAAAACCCCAAACTTTGCCATATGTGACACATTTACCCCGAACTTTTTTTTGTGACACCAAAAACCCCGAATTTTGCTTTTTGTAACACATTTACCCCAATGTATTTAGTCCATGGGTATTTTCGTCTTTTTTGCTTTTTCTTTTTTTTTCTTTTTTTTCCTTTCCGGCGAGGGGGGGCCTTGCCGGCGTCAGGCAAGCGAGGGTGGCCCTCGCCCGACTCAGGCGAGGTCGACCCTCGCTGGCGTCGGGCGAGGGTCGACCTCGCTCGAGCCTGGGCGAGGCCGCCCTCGCTCGCCTAGGCGAGGGCAAACCTCGCCCGACGCCGCAAGGGCCGCCTCGCCCGGGCGAGCGAGGGCGGCCCTCGCCCGACTCGTGAGGTCGACCCTCGCCCAACGCCGGCGAGGGTCGCCTCGCTGGGCGAGCGAGGGCGCACCTCGCCCGACGCCGGCGAGGGCCGCCCTCGCTCACCCGGCGAGGGCGAACCTTGCCCAACGCCGGCGAGGGCCGCCCTCGCTCGACGCCGGCGAGGGCCCCCCTCGCCGGAAAGGAAAAAAAAAGCAAAAAAGACGAAATTGCCCATGGAGTAAATACATTGGGGTAAATGTGTCACAAAAAGCAAAGTTCGGGGTTTTTGGTGTCACAAAAAAAAGTTTGGGGTAAATGTGTCACAGATGGCAAAGTTTGGGGTTTTTGGTGGTTTTTTCCCCTCTATTTTTAGGTGCTAAAATCGTGTTATCTAAGGAACATGCAATTTAGTGTATAGCAGTAACTGTCAAATTGATTAAGCGCATTGAGATTTACGGGTCACTATTAGTTAGTTTAGGGACGATGACACTGTAAATACTAGGGGTGAGCATGGTCCGGATTGGGCCGGTTCACCCCCTAACCCTAGGATCAACCCGCACAGGGTCTTCAATTTTGGGACCGAGGACCGCCCGTCGGTTCCATGGACCCGCCCGGGAACCGGACCGCCGGTCCGGTCCGGTTCTAGGGCGGGTCCATGGAACTGGTCCCACCAAGTTTTCCTGGACAAATAAAAAAAAATATGTGAACCAACATCGGATCAACGGAACAAAAAGAAAAGAACATAACTTTCCATACAATTCCTATACTACGATTGGTTCTATTAACCACATCATTCATAAATCAAGTGGGTACCCATCAAATGAGTGTCCAGAGATAAGAGAGCTGAGAGTTATGAGTGTCTAGTTACGTTTTTCTTTTTTTTTTTAAAATTTTTTTTGGTCAGATTTTTTTAATTAAAATTTTAAAAAATAAAATATATTATTATTATATTACCGGTCCGGTCCGGATGGGCGGGTGGGCGGTTCCACACTAGGAACCGGGAACCGGACCGATACCCACCGGTTCCAACAAATTGGAACCGGGAACCGGACCGGTCCCCTTGGGAACCACCGGTTCTGGTTCGGTCCCGGGCGGTCCTAGGTTTTTTGCACAACCCTAGTAAATACTGAAATTTTTGCCTAATTTACAATCGAGTACCTGATCATTAGAATTTCGGCTTTTTGAAAGTTGATCAATACAATACCTAACATTAAAATCACGGACGAGAAAATGCCAACATAGACATTGGCATCGTTAATTAGCCAATGACCGTTCACATTGCTGTCTAATATTGTATCTTGCGATGTGTCACGTCGGCAGTAACATATTGGATGGCTAATATCGTTCAAGCCCATACGCACGCGCACTCTCCTCGTCATCTGACACCTAAATGGAGACGACACAATTTTTGTTGAGTAAGCGAGACGCGTTACTAATTGTGATTGAACTTTCGCTAATTGGGCGAGCCACGCTAACAAAATCACATGAAGTGACCATTTGTTTTGCAGAGCCCTCACATCAAGCCAAATTTGAGAAGTTCAGATACTTGATTGAACCGGAAAAAATAAATATAGGTACTCGATTATAAAGCGAACAAAAGTTCAAACACTTGCGCCTTCACTACCCCTAATTTAATTCCTTATTGCTTGATAATTACCCTTTCGATATATCAAGTTAATCCAGCCACATCAAGGATGTAACAATTTTCGATAAGTCCCATACTTTTACCACAACTACACTGAAAGGTCATCATGTAAGTTCATATGCCAAGCCAATATGTGAGTTCATCTTCATGATATTGTCCAGCTGCATTCCAATCTGTAGATCAATGCTCTACTGTACTTTCCCAGGGAAGAACTCAAGATCGCAATGACAAATTCTGTAATCTTGCTTTGCGCAGTTGAAACTACTGCCCCTCGTTCGAACTGCTCGATTTCGCGGAAGATGAAGCAAGCAATTCTCCCACAACAGCTGCAGGAAGTGATATGATCTTTGCTGCAGTTAAGAGTTCCAAATGATGTTTCCGTATTCTATACCTGAAGCTCGTCATCTCAGTCACAAACAAAGATCAGCAGCCTGCCGTGTTCACAGTAACACGAGCGGGATTTCCCGTGTTTCGAGCTTACGGAAAGTTCATGCAAAGCCGAGTGATGTGCAACAAATGTAAATATGAAAAACTAGATCCTGGGTTAGCGTCTTAGGTGCGGATTGCGCGTTACAATGACCAACCCATAGGATTTGATAATCTCAGTGACCAACAGAGACAGGTTTCTGATGCCTAAGCTACAATGCTATTCACTGTGTTTGCATAATTCAGCTAGAGTTCTGCACGACTCTCATTTCTGGTCATGGTGTATGGTTCCTAGATGCAACATACTGAGCACAAATATCTCTCACCACCTTCAATTTTGCCATGATCTTTGCTAATTTTTCTTCCTCAGCACGCACGTCGTGAATTCTTCTATTGAGCTTTTGGAGGGCGGCATCATTTGTGTGATCCCTCCGGATCTTTGCATCATTCTCGTACTCCACTATTTATGGTTGCTAAGACCTGAAAACAAAATCCATCAAATGAGCATCTCATTGCAAAAAATCATTAATTCTGTAAAGAAGCCGATCAAATGAGAGCATCGGATTGATTACCTCCTAGACAGTGCTGCTGTCATGAGCAATGAACTTGTACTCAGTGCAGTGATAAGCAGGATGCTTCGGTTTCTTCATCTGCTAGCACACATTACAGTAGTACTCGCCGAAGTTGTCCTGGATCCAAGTCTCAGCAAAGGTGAGGGAGTGGAAGTGGCACTTGGACTTAATCTTCTCTGGAAAGGCGAAGGGGGCACAATGGAAGTGGAAGCGGCGAGGGCAGGCCAGGACCATGCACTGAACAAGGTGCGTGTCACAACCAAAGTCGCTGCACACGTTGCAGCAGTAATGCACCAGCGGATCGGTCTCCACCAGGAAAAAAAGGCCTCTGTCCTCGTACTTGATGTTTAAGTACCGTGCAGCGCACCTGGCATCAAGGTTGAATTGACAGTCTTCACAGCGGAAGTTGAAGCCGAAGATGATCGAACAGCAGCAGGATCAGGAGACGAAGCTGGACTTTCTCCATATGAAGTCCAGGATCAGAGTGCAATGTGGATGTTGTGGATGCTTCAGCTCTCTTGGTAGTTCCAAGCATGACTTGTGCAGGAAAAACTCGCAGTCCCTGCACTTGTAGGCTGCACCTTCAACCGGTGAATTACAGCTGTTGCACTTGACTTCTTGATCGTTTTTGCCATCTTTGGCCGGAACAGGTTGAGGGCCAGTGATGTTGGTTAGTAGAATCAAGGGGTGTCTGGGAGCAAAATGCCAAATCTCCATGGTCTCCATCTTCTTGGATTGTATCTCAGAGCCTGTGCTGGCAAGAGCAGTTTTTTAGCAACCAACAACTTGGAGCTCAGATTAAAATTTGGTATTCCCTCAACAAGAGGAACTTCCAGTTTTTTAACTCTTCTTGCCCCACCAGTCAAACTTCTCAAGCAACTAGGACCACTCGAATGAATTGTATAACATTGTTTACCAATTGAGAAGCGATCACATGGCGGTTTCCATGTCAGTCAGTGTTGAAGAGAATCAGGCGTATCATTGACTGATTTTTTCATGCCATAAGCATCGTTGAGTTAGACTTAGATTGCCATTACAAGGAGGGGTGAGAACAATCAATCAGAAAGGGATATGAGAGGGATGGAGTTTCAATGCTATATTGACATCTATCCCTGTAACTGAATGCAGATCGTGCAGCTGCACCATCTAATGTGAATCGACCTCGTATTAAGATGCTGGAACTGTCGAATCTTTTATGGGACAAGGAAGGAAAAGAAAATCCAAAGGTCAGATTCCTCAAACTTGTGGTTTTGAAAACATTAGCTTTAGCCCCGTATCTTGCAACCCCAATAAAAAGACCACTTTGTTTCCTGCACAGTTATTCAACAACTATGACCTTACCTTTGGGAGGTCATTCTCCTTTTGATTTCAAGACACAGAGATTGATGTACAAGCATACTCCAAGGAATTAGCAGATTGGACAACGACACATTAACAACCAGGAACTTCTTTCTTAAGTCTATAACAACCACCAACTTTACAAACCTTCCTTCAAGCAGAAGCCTCAGTGGAGGCAGAGCAAGAAGGCGGGTAGACCTCAGGCTTCAGCTTTGCTGTGAATTTCTTTTATTCCTTGGCTAAGCACATTTCCTCGTCACGAAGCCCCCTTATCTTCATGTCTATTCTCTGGAGTCCAGCATCATTTGCAAGGTTTTCTCTCAGCTTGGCATCCATCTCGTACTCTGCCAAAATCAAAGGCAGTACCTGAAATTCAAGAAAACTCCAATGTAAACGTCCGTGAGCCTCAAGATTGCATCAACACAGAAGTACCCCTTTCAAAAAAATGCCTTGGAAAACAGAGTGAATAATTATTCCTCAGAAAAGGAAAGAGAGTCGTGCTTGAAGTTACGAAATTCGAGGGAATGACAAGAAATTTTTGTATAAATGTCCAAAATCAACCTAAAAAGTTGTATCATACAATTGGAAAATAACATGAAAGGATGAGTCCCACACAATATAATTGCAAATTACAGCAAAATCAACCAGAAAAGCCATTTGCAGCAAGGACATACCTCAGAAATGGACATACCTCAGATATGGTGCAACTGACGTGAGCAATATAGTCACACTGCATACACCTATACACAGGATGTTTCGGATTCCTCTCTGTCTCGCTCGCATTGCAGTAGTACTCACCCGAATCGTCTTCCAGGAAGGTTTTGGCAAACGTGAGCGGGCGAAAGTGGCACTTGGACTTGATCATTTCCGACCATGGGAATGGAGAGCAGTTGAAATGGAAAGACCGGAAGCACAAAGGGATCACACACTGAAACAAATTGGTGTCCATGCTGATGTCATTGCACATGTCACAGTGGTAAATGGTGTTGAATTCAGTTTCTTAGAGGAAATAGAGATGACCCCTGTCTTCAAATTTCACGGTCAAGTAACGCATTGCACAGTGAGTGTCAAGGTAGAATTTGCAGACGTCGCAGCAGAAACTGAAGCCAAGGATGGCAGAGTGATAGAAAGCGCAGTTGTGTTGCCTCCATGCAAGCTGAAGGTAGAGAGTGTGTGGAGGGTGATAAGGGTGTTTCATCTTAGTAGGGAGTTCAGAGCAAGACTCGTGGAGGTAAGAGTTGCAGGCTTTGTAGGCGTAGGTGGTGGGGGGCGAGGCTTGAATGGCGTTGCTGCAGCCATAGCAGTTGACTTTCTCGTCGACCCCTCGGAGGTCACAGAGGATTAGAGGGTGTTTGTGGCTGCAATGTTCTTTCTGATTCTGCTCCTCCTCCCTCTGTTTTTGGTTTTTGTCTTGGGTTGGCTTCTGATGGATTGATGGGTGCTATAACTCGGACGTGATCAAATGTGCAGGTCAGATAGTTGTATTGCGGGTTGAAATGAAGCAAAGCATCATTCACTTTGACTCTGGTGTTGACAAATTCAAGTATACAACTGTGCCAGATCTGTTCACATGTATTAACAAAACTAAGAATCATCCAGATGTGCACGTGATAGACCTATTCCAAGTTGATCCATAGAGGAAGACTGGAACAGAAAATGTTCTGACATTGGTTTGGAAGTTGCTATATCTATTCAGAATATTTTACACAATTGCACATCCTCTAATCGATCTTTGTCGTCAAGTTTCTAGTTCCTTTTCATGTTACTTTTTTGTAAGGTTACAAATTAAATGGAGTGGTCAGGTGAATTCGTTCAATTTACTACAACCAAATCCCACATGCATCAGTCGGTTTAAGCAGCAGACGGAAAAAGTAGAACTGCCGGTAAACATAGGTTAAACATTGGTGAATAGAATGTACAGGTGATATCTGTCCATACTGGTGCCTGCGAATATATATGGAATTGAGGTTAAAGAAGCTGAGGTAATGAGCCAATTCTGAGCTGGAAAAATCCCTGGAGATTTGTCTTCCTACAGGACTTCACAGGTAGGTTTTGGTTTTCAAAATATTCTGGTTTGTTGTTCATCCCTTTAGCCGCTTCATTCAGGTAGCAAGTCCAATCAGCCATGAGAGAACCATTCACATCACAGGAGTCTGCATGAGATTTTTTCAGGTCTCTTCGATGAAGCAACTTGAAAGATTTTAACACAGAGAACGTGCCACAAAGTGCAAACTTATATTATAGGATGTCCACTTAGCCAAGACTAGCTTCACCATCTTCTAATAATTCAAGATCAATGAAAACATTCAGGCTTTTAGCTTAGCAAGCCCAATATTCACTACCATTTACACTTGACATATGCATCAATATTGTAAAATTAGAAGATGATCACTTCACACTATACTTGGATACAACCACTAAGCTTGAAATTGTTTGATATCGTCCAATTATTACGAGCACAGTCTTGTCTTCACACAACCGTCAGACTGGGTATATATATTAGGAAGCGTGGAAGCAGAGGGGGATTATGTACTCATGCATCACTAGCATTATTCCTCCATCTCGTGAATGGCTTACGGAGAAACTTGGAGAGAGGAGTCTTCGGGACCGGAATGAGTTTCCCGAGTACTGCAAGGGGCCAGCTGTACAACAAAAATCAAACGCCGTGCACGAACCTTGTGAGAAATTAATGAAGCGTGCGTATGATTGATAAATCGCAAAATACACTACCAGTGGAGGGTTGCAACAAGTTGAAATTAGGATCCATATGAAATTATATGAGGCCTTCTATACTCGTGTACAACGCATCCCAGTACAAACAGCTTCACATGCAAATTAAGTGTTTACTCGGGCTCCTCACATTAGAGTCAGGCCTCAGGAGGTACGGTCGAAAATTTTTTAGAGTACCAAGAAGTTTCAAGCAGCCATTTTCCCTTGCTTAAGATGCTACGATGTCAAAGGTGCTGGAAGCTGTTCCAATTACTTATAGTCCGTAATTAGATTCTTTCGGATGATATTTGAAAGGAGTCTTATCATGTGTAGGTTTTAGAGCAGAGATTCACGCCCCGAAAATACCAATTAAACTCTCAACACCTAGCAGAGCATTTCATGAAGAGAGGCTATTTCTATTCTGCTATGATAACATTTTTCCATGTATATTGACTTACAAGCAGAAGACATCTCCAAGATAACTAACGCGATTACATAAAGTTATAGGTGAAGCACCACATTAACTGTATGGGTACCAAAAATGGACGAACCTGACAATGCCGATCCCTACAGCAACAAGCCACATATTCCAGCTGAGCTTCACAGTCTTAGCAAACTTTCCGAGGAACTCGACAATAATGATCTGGGGCACAAGCAAGAGAGGCTACGTGAAAATTCAAACACTTATTTGACAATGAAAGCATGAATATTCCAAAGCACTCACTTGAAGCACAATGGTAATTCCAATGATACCAATGAAAAGGTAGTTTCTCGTCACTCCACTGAAAACATTCAGTTCGTCGGGCTTTCGAGCATTGAACTCATTGAAGATCTGTCATTTGAACAATAAATTGAACAACGAGGCTTAGCATTGAAGCTTAGATGGATCATGTAAACTGAAGAACCCATAAAAGCTCAAAAAGGAGCTTTTATTTTGGATCATTCTGTACTTCAGCCTTTACTTTTACTTAATTTTGAGGAATTGTGGGCAGAAGGATGCAAATTTAGTATCTCTACTTACTTGACAAAGGACAAACGCATTGAACACCATCGTATTCTTGATGTCGACAGCATGTTCCCTTGGTTCATTGCTCAACTGAAGAACACTTACGCCGCGGTAGTTCAGGACAAGAAGGACGCATACTTGATAAGCAGCCTGCAGAAGAAAGTTGTTCACTTGAATAAACAACAAACTGACTATGAGACAATCCAACAGGTATCTCAAAAAGAGCAACGAATAGAAAGACCTGTATTGTCAAGTTCCTCCACATGATATTAGTTATTAGAGGTTCCCTGACAGAGCAAACACAAGATCATAATCAATCACCAAATCATCAGGCAAAGAAAGAGATGGAGAAGCAAATGTAAATGAGACTTGCATTTTAGGTACTCTAAAGGAAGCGTTTAGAATTAGGAGGAGTCCGCATCTTTGTCACCCAAACACCCTATATGCTAAGAGAACAAAAACGCAAAATATCTTGGACTAAAGGACCGATGGCCAGTGACCTTTACATCTTTCTCTGAAAGGCAAAGTTTATGCACTTCTCTTCTATTACCATTTCCAATGTCCAGTTAAATGCAAACCAAAAACCATATCTATAATTGTTTTGCCGCTGTCCAGACAATTAAAAAACTTTCAGCTTGTCGTGGTTTCAGAGCGTTTGATTATAGCTAGACAGTGCCTTTACTATGATGCTAAAGCATAACAAGATGTGCTGACTTGCAAACCTTCGGCCAACTGGAGTTCTCTCCATTAGGTGGTCCGTGGGCGGCTCTGTTGCCAATGCAAGTGCTCCAAGAGTATCCATGATAAGGTTGACCCACAGAAGCTGCACCAGAAAGAGAAGTATTTTAGACAAGAAAATGAACCTTGACCTATGCTTCAGGGAACTTTGTGATCCTCTCAAGGAGAACTAGGGTCACGTAAGTAGGGCTACCCCTAGAATAGTGTCATGGTCATCCAAGCAAGCAAAGATTCACTAACCTGTACTGCATTCAACGGAACATCACCCGAAGATATCGCTGCCACAACATTGATTACCAGAGCGGCGACATTTACTGTGAGTTGGAACTGGATAAATTTCTGAATATTTGCATACACAGAACGGCCCCAGCGAACAACCTATGCACCATTCAGAAATGTTGCTGTTACATACTTGACATGTGTATAATGACTAATAAACTTCAAAAAGATAGAAACTTAATCAGTCAAAGGACGTTTGACAAAACCCCAAGCAAATACAAGCAACAGGCTTATGTTTCGCCTGAAGGTCTTTTATGTCTCATGCATAAACTTTTCATTAAGTGCCCTCAGTGTTCACTTCAAACTACACTTTACACATGCACGAGTAAACCATGGGACACTGCTGTGTTTTTCCATACAGCATCCAATGGGGGATATGGTCATGCCGTGAGAGAGAAAGACTGGATGCTTCTCTGGTGTTTGAAGATTGCTCTGGGATTAACAAAAATAATCTTTGAAAAACTTTTTCTCGTATTATTCTTTTAATGAAATGCTTTTGAAAACATTTTTTCTAAGCAAGCACTGGTGCTCTCTGTTTGTTCTCATTATTTGCTCTCTGCTATTTGCAGAAATAAGTGCAATAACATTAACCACAAACATGCTACTAGAAACAAAATTTCATTTTACTTTGGAAACTGCTCATACAAACCAAAAGGAAACAGCAAAGATCAGACAACTCCTACATCATCGGAGTCTTTTTACTGACCTTAACAACAGAGGCAAAATTGTCATCTAAAATAATGATGTCAGAGCTTTCCTTTGCAACTTCCGTCCCTTGGATGCCCATAGCAAGACCAATATCTGCCTAAATTATCAAATATTCATACTGATGTGAATAGGTAGGAACGTGGAAATTTAAAGCATAATATCACACAACACTATAACCATAAAAGCAGGTTCCAACTGCGGATAGTATCTCAGTGATTAAGATAACACTGGTTGTGTTTGACATGCATGTCCTACTCTTTTCCCAATGCTGTCCATCTTATATATGCCATCTCGTGCATATGCCATATTGTGATTGAAGTGAATAATCTGGGCTTATTTGAGAAGTACCTTCGACATCTTGGGCGCTAGATGAGCATCCTACGTACTTATCTTCTTTATCTAACTTCATTCCAAGACATTTGGATGCACCTTATTGATTTGCTTAAGGAACATCTATAAGAATAAGGACTTTCTGGCAGAATATAAATTAAATGAAAAGTTGCTTTTAATGTTCAACCCAAGGGAGGGTAAAAATTAGGGTCCAGAGCAAAGTC